CCTCGGTGCAGCGGGTCCCCGGCTGCCGCTGTCCCCGGTAAGGCGGGGGATGTCCCCGTGCCCAGAGTCCCCGCTCGGAGCGCAGGGCAGAGCCCGGAGCAGCTCAGCGCACATGTGCCTGGGCTGTCCTCTGCTGTCCCGTCCCCTCCCCTCCTCCGCCCGGCCCACACGCACACCCAGCCCTCTCCTGCTCCTTCTCCACCTCCTCCTCCTTCTCCTCCTCCCACTTCCTCTGCACAGCGCGGGCTGCCGGCGGAGCAGGGGCAGCGGTTCTCCCGTTTTCCCGTCCGTGCCGAGCCCCCACCGAGCCCGTAGCGATGCGCCGGGGGAGGCACCGCGCCGCAGCCGCAGGTGAGTGCGGGGCCGGAGGGATGCGCGTCCCGCAGGAGCCGCGCTGCAGCGCAGGGATGCGGGGGGACCCCCAGCCAGCGCCGCGCTCCCCCTGGGGCTTCTTTGGCGGGTGAAAATCTCGAGTGGGAAGGGGATCCCTGCACGCCTTCCTCTCGATCGTCTGCTTCTCCTTGGGCCGTGCAAGGAAAAACGGGCTGCAGGCTCCGGATCCCAGGATTTTACCCATTTATGGACACTTTAGATCATGCGGCTGATCCGCAGCGTGAGTGCGCTCAGGCTCCTGCGAGAGGTTTATTTTGGGGGTCTCCGGAGTGCTGCCCACACGAAAGCGGTGGCCGTGGGTGTGCGGAGGGGACAGAAAGACGGCCACGGCCACCCACCCCTGCCACATCCATACCTCGTGTGCTGGCAAGGGCCTGCGGGCACCGAGGGGGTCCCAGCCGTGACCATGGCCAACCTTGGATGTGACATCGGAATGGGATCGCTGCGTTTTGGAGGGGTTTTAGCTCCGACTAGAAGGGGACGCAGTCACTGAGCCCTTCTGGTGACTGCTCAATGCTCCGTGAAGTTTTTGGGTTTTTTAAATAAAAGTGAATATTCCTAGGGAGGTGGGGGGGGTTCACCTTTAATCACAGCCAGCCCGTGGCTTGGTGCATGCATTCCGTAGGGACACTGCCTTAAAAAGCAGCTGCCTTGGTCCACGGGAAGGCTCCGGCTGGGCTTTTGCCCGCCTGGGAGAAGCTCAGGAGCTGCAAACTTTGTGGAAAAGGGACAGGATGTGGAATGAGGGATCTGTGTTCCCCCAAATGACCGAAGTTTGGGGGAGCCACGCGGGTGAGCTCATCCGAGCCCGCCGGCTATGGGAACGGTGAGCTCCTCGGCAGGATCCCAGAGTCTCCGGGATTGTGAAACCAGGGTTGCAGCCGGCCTGGGGCAATCCGCCTCCTCACCGGTGCTGTCCATTGGTTTCGGGGAGAGCCGGGAACCTCCCCCGTGCCGCAGCATCTGGGGTGGGGATCTAGGGGGCAGCGGGTTTAGGAGACTTTATTTCTCGATTCCTGCGGGTTGGCCGGGAGTTGGCGGCTGTTTTTGGCATCACGTGGCGATGGAGGAGGCGGGAGACTGCGGTGAGAGGCTCCCGCTCCGGGCGTCGCATCCCGGGAGGAGGAGGAGGAAATTCCGGGGAGCCTGCATGCTCCGCTGATAACACACACGGGCGCATTGTTCGGAGCTGTCGGAGCAAAAAGAGATGGCTGAGGTGTTCCCAACGGCCTTGGCAAGCCCAGGAGCAGCGGGAGCCCTCCCGTGTCCTTTGGACACCCAAAACGCGGCAGATAAGGCTCCCGCGGGAGCTTATCAAGGAGGTTTCGCTGCTGCCGCACGTGTTCCCTCTGCCTTTGGTTTTACTTTTACTCCTTGCCGGCCAAACGGCCTCTTGTGGGAAAAAACCCCGAGAAGGAGGAAGGGGGTGGGGAAAAGTGAAAAGAATATTAAAAAAGAGGAATAACGGGTTGCGTTTATTCCATCCGCTGCTTTTCCCAGCTGTAGGGTTTCGGAATTACTGGCTGCATGTGTTGGGGTTCTCCCAAGCATCCCCTCCAGTGCTGATTCCCTCTCCTCCCCCGCTGGCTGCAAGAGGGATAATCCCAGAGGGGAAAAAAAGGCTGATGGTGACAGCAAAAGCAGAGCGGTTTTCCTGGCGTGGCGCAGGTGTGGGGATGGCACGGGGTGGGCAAAGTCCCTGTGGATGTCATGGAGAGAGGGCGCCTCTCTCCCTAATTTGGTTAATGAGCTCAGCCCTATCAGACGATCCCTGTGCTCTCTGCGGTGGGATCACTCGTCCCACTCTGCAGCCCTCCAGTCAGTGTTTACCTTGGAGCTGGGTGAAACAGGACGATTGCATCGTGCCCGGTGGTGTCACCCGATCCCGTGGTGACAGCAGGGCCAGTGTCACAATATCCCCACGGTGGGGAGTTGCAGATCTTCGGGGAAAGGGGAAGAAGCAGTGGGAAACATCAGGATTCACAAGATTGTCCACCCCTAACATTGCCATAGCTGGGAAGGGATGCCATGCCTGCATCGCCCTCCCACGCAGCATCTCCCAGGGAGATGGATTTAAACACCACTCTCCCAAGAGATCTCTTTTGGAAGGAAAATAACTCAGTCTGGGCTTTTCTTCAATTCAAAGGGAGCTGTTTTCCCTGGATCTAAGTGCTGGCAAATTTAATTGGTGCTGCATGTCTTGGAAACGACCCCAAGGACTTATCCTGAGGATAAAAGTGTTGGAAATGATGTGGGGGAGCTGCTTCCAACAGTGCAAGCAGAGAGGGAAGCACTGAGGCTCCTGTGGGGGTTTTCAGAGGATTCCAGGGTCGAGGAAGCAATAAATTGTTGAAGCTTGCTTGAGAGACTCGCCGGGAAGGCTCAGTGAGGGGTGCAGCCTCAGCTGTGCTGTTTTAGGGTGAGCTGCAAAGCTGCAGCACCACCACTGGCTCGCTCCCTTATCTCCCCCACAAGTCTCCCCTCATATCTGCTCTGTTTCCCCTGCTGTTGATGTGGCTTTTATCTTATCTCCACGTGCTCTTCCTCCATTTCCTCCTTGGCTTCTCTGCTAACGCTGCCACAAAAGGGGGAAAAAAAAAAAAAAAAAAGGAGCTCCTATTGTAGGGAGTCCATCCCTGGGCTTGGGGTTGCTGGGCTGTGCTGGTTGACATCTGGCCATGCTGGGAGGGTGCTGAGTGATGCTCAGGTTTGTCCTGGGGCTGCCTGGGTGATGTACAGAATGCTCAGGTGATGCTGAGGGGTCCTGGTTGATGGTCCAGTGGTTGATGGTCCAGTGGTGCTCTTGGGGCTCAGGTGATGCTCAGGAGATGCTGGGTGATGCCAGGTGATGCTCAGAGAACACTTGGGGTTCTCAGGGATGCAGGACTGTGCTGGGACAGGCTGCCAGCTCCACCTGCTGGCACCCACCCCACAGCAGCCCCAGATCCCTTAAGGGAGAGGCTGAGCTGCTGCCTGGGGGTAAAAACCTCAAATTACGTTACAAAGTGAAGCCGGGGATGGGAATTTTGGGCACTCTGCATCTGTGTATGCTGGCTCCTCACCTGAGCTGACCCAGCTTTGCTCCCTGCTGCCTGCAGCAGATGATCTGAGCTTTGGAACCAAAGCAGCCTGAGCTTTCCAGGGCCTTTCCAAGGAGACAGATGGAGAAATGCCCTGCCAGCCTCCCAGGACTCTCCCCACTGGCAGCGAGGGTTGGATCCTGTGGGAAGGGGAAATCCCTGCACAATTCAAGCCCTCATGACTGGCCACGCTGTAGAAAGTTTACAAAAGACTGATTAATGCACACACAGGTATTGGACCTGCAGTGACATTCCCCTGTGGAAATGGACTTGGATCTGCAGAGATTCCCTGTCTTGATCTGAGGCCTGCCTGATGCACTAAAAGTTTGTGCTAAGATTATCAGTTTATTTGTAGTTGTTTTATTTGTGTTTTCATCAAAAATAACTCGTTTGGAGACCAAATATTAGTCAATCAACTTTTATACAATGTTAATTTCATTTTTGCTAAGTTTATTTTGTCGTTTTGCTTGGTAAAAAAATGATGTGGAAAAAACTTTTTGTCTTAGGGAAGTATAATTTTGTCTCAACCCGACTTAACCTGGGAGCTCGTGCAAGGGTTTAATGCATATTTGGAACAATAAAAGATACATAATAACCTTTCATGTTCTGCCTCGGAAGGCTTGAAATTTATGATGATGAGGCTACGTTTTTCAGAGATATTAACAGGAGCACTGAGTCATCATCCAGAGTAAAACTCCCTGCCCTAGGGGAGGTACCTGGGCGTTCCCTCCGAGCCTGAGCGTGATATTAACCCATGGAACTTTGTGTTTCCTCCCAGATAAATCATCACAGTGGAATTGCAACCTCCCAGTCCTGCTGGAAGATCCATGGGTGGTGGACTCTTTCTACTCTTAGCCTTCCCTTGTTTTTCCTTAGGCATTTTCTGAAGTGTTATTTTTATGCTTTTATCTTGTATTACAATAGGTAATAACCAAACCAGCTCCAGTGCAACCAAATTGTTCTAAAATAAACCCTATATTTTTATAGAGATATTCATAAACGCCGGTCATTCAGCGTTGTTTCACTCTAACCATCCCCAAGGGATCCATTGACAAGAACCTGGGTTCCACTCACCTTGTGGGGTGGCTTGTAACCCTCTGTCACCCTGTGCCACTGTCGCAGTCGGGATGGACACAGGACACTCGAGGTTCATGTGGCCAATTTTATTGAGCACAGTTCTCTTTATACAGTTTTTGGGAGCCTGCATGGTTGGCCCTGATTGGCAGGATTTGGTTGCCACTCACCTGGCTGGCCAATAGCTGCCTGCATCCCTAACGGCCTAAACGGGTCCCTAACAGCCCAAACTGGTCCAGTTCTGGTCAGGGTCATCCAGAACTGTTAGCCACCACCCCAGGATGGGTTGTAACCTCTGTCACCCTGTGCCACGCAGGCTGCTGGCTGTGGGGACTCTCTTTGCTCATGGTTTGTTTTCTGTCTGACCCAGGCAGGCCAGCTCACCTCTCCTGCGAGGACAGCGCCACCGATGTGTAAATGGCCTCAAATCGGTACTCGGAGTCTGTGGACCCCATGATTTTCAACAAGCTACCTCATCTGGAGCCTGCCACCAGCTTCCTGCCCAGCAAAATCCCTGGCACATCCAGCCCTGTGCCCCACCCTGCCTCTGAAAACCATTTCAACTACAAGGGCTCCTACTTTGCCTGCCCGCTGCAGAGCCCCGAGGGTCCCGAGCAGCCCCCGGCCGGCTGGAGCCCCGTGCCCGCCTACCTGCACCACAGCCCCGGTGCCCTGAGCCAGGCTGTGCCGGCTGAGGAGCCACTGCTGGGCTTCCTGCCGCACCCACCTGAGAGCCCAGGCGCCAGGCTGCAGCCCCCAGACGCCCAGAAGAGGCTGAGCCAGAAGCAGCTGATGCCCAGGAAGAAGCTGGACAGACCCAGGTGCCCCTTGCCGGTGAAGAAGCCGGTGCTGCTGAAGAAGGCAGCCCCTCTAGCAGTCCCCACACCGGTGTACAGAGCCCCCGCCTCCTTCCTGGCTCCCAGCATGGCTCTGGTGCTGGGAACACAAGCTCAGAGCCTGCAGCAGCGACCAGGGGAGGCAAGCTGGGCCCTGCCCCCTGCCACCCACCCTCTGCACCCCAGTGAGCCCCACAAGACTCGGCCCTGCTCTGACCACAGCCTCCTGCCACTGCCTTCCAGCCTGGCCCTGCCTTCCAAGGAGCAGCTGGGCTCCCCCATCACCTTGCCCCACTGCTGTGTCACCTTTGATAAGTACAGGCCACCCCCCAGCACCCCGTTCCTGGAAGCAAGGTGTCCCACTGCCCAGAGCCAGAAGACGATGCTGGAGGTCCCCAGCCTCAGCCTGGACCCCTGGCCCAAGCTCCATCCACCCGATGCCAGCCCAGTGACCCAGGAGAAGTCAGCGATGTGCTACCCACCCTACCCCTACTCGTTGTCACCTCACAGAGCTGGGCCCCTCTACCACCCCCCAACTCCCACTGTGGGGGAGCCCAGTGCCCTGCCCGGCTTTGGCTACGTGGGAAGCAGGGAGCCCTTTCCTGGCACCTACCTCAAGCCCCAAGTCCCTAGGAGTTACTTTCCCAGCCCCTTGGAGCCCTACGTGCCAAGGACAGCGGGTGCCAGGCTGGGAGTGGTTATGAGGGATGCTGAGCCACCCAGGGATGCCGAGCTGCCCAGGAACACGGGGTACCCAGGGTTTGCCATCAGCCCAGGCAGTGCATCCGTGTTCCACACCTCCTTTCCCAGCACAGAGCCAGGGTGTGAGCAGCACAGGGTGGACAGTCCACAGTGGAGAGCAGCACCGAGGCACAGCAGCGCTTTCCAACCTGTCTGCACCTCAGAGAAGCTTTCTGGGGGCTCCGGTGGGCTCACTGAGACATTTCCCGAGAGAGGAGGGAGCTGGGAGAAACCCAGGCAAGGGGAGGAGGAGCCTCTGTACCCAGGGAGGAGGAACAGCAGCCCGGCCCCTCAGGACATCCCTCATGAGAGACCAGAGGAAGGGAATGTCTGTGAGGGCAAGGATCCAGCCAAGGAGCTCACCCGCCCTTCTCCATCTGTGACCCCCACCCGGGGGCTGGAAGACCTGAGGGACACCAAGGCTTTGTCATCCTCCCCGCCGATGCCTGTGATCCACAACGTCTTCAGCCTGGCGCCTTACCAGGAGTACCTGCGGAGGGCCAAGGACTCAGACCCCATCCTGTTCTGCAGGAAGCATCTGTGGGAGCACTCCTCACCCCACAACACTGGTGGCAGCCAGGAGCCTGCTGCCCTCAGGGACGTCTCCGTGGTGTCCAGCCTGAGGTCGGGCAGTGGTGCAGTGCAGAGCCAAGAGGAAAGCTGTTACACGAGCATCCCTAAAAAGCCAAAGCCTGTGCCCCAGGAGCTGGAGTCTCAGGAGGACAGCCCTGATGGGGTGGACACTGAGGAGCCAGCCCCTGAGGACATGGCGCTGGACCTCAGCTTCAAGAAGAGACTGGTAGAAGCTGGAGACACTCAGAGACCCTCTGGGTGTGTGGAGGGGACACTGGATGGAGAGGACAAGGAGGAGAAAGAAGCTGCGGGGGGGAAGGTGGGGTCGGGGGAGGGTGCGCAGCCTCCGATGCCTGAGACAGACTCTGGGGGCAGGGGCAACTTCCAGAGCTCAATCAACTTCATGTTCCAAAAATACAAGCTCCTGCCCTCCCACGTGCCCAGCACTGAGCCTCCCCAGCAGGATGGCAGCCCCCAGGCCCCCCAGCCAAACCCCCCCAGCACCCCCACGCTGACTCACCCAGCCTCCTCCCCATCCAGCAACCCCCCGTTCACACCGCCTGGCCCCCAGCTCAGCATCATCCTTAGCCCAAACCTTCCCCAGACGCTGCTTCTCAAAGCCCCCTCCACGCCGGTGGTGGAGAAGGTCTCGGAGGCCAAGCAGGGTGATGGTGTCCCCACGCAGACCTCCTCACAGTACTTCACCACCCTGCACACCTCGCTCTGTGACACGATTTCGGGCTCCGTGTCCCGCTCCTCCCCGGAGCTCCTGCGACAGTGGCTGGAGAAGGCTGAGCCGGCAGAAGAGCTGGGAGAGATGCCCAAATCCCTGCCCAAGCCCAAAAATGGCTCCAAGGCACCCAGTCCTCAGAAGCCCAGCAATGGCAAGGAGATCTGGCTGGCTTTCCAGGACGTGGCCGCCCTCCTCACCAAACTGCTCTCCCAGCTGGAGGCCTTCAAGTCCTCTTGCCCTTTCCCCTACGTCGTCCGGGCGGGAGCCATCTTCATCCCCATCCACGTGGTGAAGGAGAAACTCTTCCCCAAGCTGCCTGGGAGCTTCGTGGACCGAGTGCTGCAGAAGCACAAGGTGGAGCTTCGTCCCACCACCCTCTCAGAGGAGAGGCACCTGAGGGACCTGGATCTGAAGAGCTGCACCTCCCGCATGCTGAAGCTCCTGGCGCTCAAGCAGCTTCGTGAAATCTACCCCGACCTGCTCAACCTCCACTGGCACAGCTCCATTCAGCAGCAGCTCGGTAGGTAGCCTGGCATCTCCTGGGCATAATGGGGCTCTCCCAAGGATGTTCCAGCTGCACCTGTCCTCCAGGTGCTGCAACTTTGGGGAGCATCCAGAGATGTCTCAGCATCCCTTTCCTACTGAGGGTTCTGCCCAGCTTTTCCTCTCTGAG